CAGTCCAGTAATCTATGACAAACCGCTGGTTAGCGGGTTATTTATGACCACCAGTGTTACTGTGCATTTGCATTTACATCCTTTGTTTATTCATGAGAAGAGACAGAGAGCAATGAGCTGTGTCAGAACAAGCGAGATAAACAGTGAGGTGGGGAGTTAGAGGAAGAGAGACACCATAACAGTTATGAATAGCTGCCCAGAAGGGACAATCTGCTGTCTGTATTTGCAGGTGGGCAGTTATTGTCTATCTTTTCTTTTCAGTTATATATGTTTTATGGGCAAATGAGGTTATGTATCTGTACATGATTAACACAGAGTGTTTAATCTTAACCATTAAATCAGTCATCCTACATCCCTGACTCCTTCCTTCCCAGGATGCAGAACAATAATGCACCAATAAAACAAAAATAAATTACACAGCAGAAGTTGCATTGATTTGATCTCCTTAGTTTTTAATCAATATTCCTTAAATATTCTGAAAGCTTAAGAGGTGCAATTTATTCCTTTGGAAAAAAAAGAACAGACTCTGGCAGTCAGTGCATTTTTTAGCATATTTGGACAAATGGATTTGGCTATGTCTTTTTCTTTTAACAATTCTGGATGACTAATAGTTTTGCTTAAACTTTAAACATGTCAGCTACCTCCTTCTTAACAGTAATATAAAATTCAGGGATAGTCAGAACCCTGGCTTCAAAACTTCTCTTCTTTCCAAAGAAAGGCTTTCTTTGTGATCCAGTCACAATGAATAGGCTCAACAGCATAAGCAATGAGATTTAAAAGCTTAAGTGTCCTTTCAGCTTCGTCCTCCATCAAACCACATAAGTGCTTCATGGTTGTGATGAATCGCCAGTATATATCCAATGTATTCATTTACTAGCTAAAGCATTGACCAACACTGTGACGTCCCCGTTTGAGGTACTACAGTATGGCGGCACCCTCAGCAAAAAATTGTAAAACAACGCTTTGTTTTTTTCGTTTTTTGTTTATATTTATCACATTTGAAATATAATTATAACAGTAAGACGTTAAGGTAAATGTTAGAAGCCAACAGTCTCTCAGTACTTCAGTAGCCATTTTAATATCTACTTTTTAAGTCTTAAGTAACTTCTTGAGTTACTACTTTCAACATCAACTTGAGTAAAAATAATGTTAGTTTTTCTCTTATTCTAACCAGCTCTAGGTGTCATGATTTAATTCTAAGGTCTGACCCCAAGATGCAGAAGACCAAACAGAGAGACCAGGGAAAAGTTTAAACAGGTTTATTTAAGAAAACTGTGATGAAACCAGTGCTGCTCAGAGTAGAAGGGGATGAGCCCAGTGTTGCTCTGAACACTGCTCAACATGAACTGGAAGGTGAGGGGAAGACACTGCGGTTAGTTCAGGCTCAGTGGGAAATTTGAGTTTTTGGTTTTACATAGGAGGAAAAGGTTGCAGACTCACTTCTCCAGGATAGGGAGTCCTTTACGGAATCCAGACTGTGAGGATTGTACTTGAGATTGTCTTGTTTGGTGATGGGTGGACTAGGTTACTCAGACTGCAGTTGTTCATTGGTGAATGGAGAAGTTGACTGCCACTCAGTTTCCCTGCTGTACTTGAATGGGCTGTGGTACAGAAGAAACCTTTGCTCGGCGTGAAGCTCAAACTATCTCTTGGGGAAAGTGGATCCAGACTTCCTGTTTGGAACCCCAGCTCAGTTAGAAGCTCAGTTGAACCTTCCAGAGAGAGAAGGACCGAACAAATCCAGTTTGCAGGTTGACTTCCTGCCGAGAGGCAAAGACAAAAACAAAGTTAAGACTCTGGTTGACAAAAACTCAGTTTGACTCTGAAAAAACTCCGCTTGACTAGAAAATCCAAAACTGGCAAACACAAACTCAGGTTAGACTCTGCTAAACTAAGCATGGCTAGAGTGCCCAGTATTGGCAAAACAAAGACTTAGGTTAGACTCTGCTAAACTAAGCATGGCTAGAGTACCCTGTATTGGAAAAAAACACACTCTGGCGTCGAGGTAGTGGCAGTCAGCAGTTTAAGAACACTCCACAGGTAATGAGGCAATGAGCTGCAGGTGTGCTGGGAGACCCAATGAGGATGGGGCACCACCAGGTGGAGAAGGAAAGAAAGCACAAAAACAGACCACACAAACTGGATTCCTGACACTAGGCTCAAAGATCTGATTGCTCTAAGTCTTCCAAATAAAACATTTCACCTAGACTGCAGGTTTCTTAGTAGTTTCTAAAAGTAGAACAAAAATCAGATCTTGTAGTTTTCAGGCTCCTCTCCTGTCAAACCAATTCACAGATTTAGTCAGTCAGACACTCTCTATACTTGTAGGCTCTACTTTTAACACTCTACTTAAGACTTTCATTTTCATGAATCTTATAGTTAGACTGGTTTTATCTGGAGCTATCTCTGTAGTTTTGCTGCTGCATGCTAATGGAGGACATAATTCCTCATTCTCTTCTGCTTTCCAAGTTTGCATTATTTGCAGTTATTCAAACTTGGAATTAAATTCCCTCTATTTTTTCTCTCTCTTTGAAACCAAGTCTGCCCTGAAGAGGCTGTCTGCTAAATCACTGATGCCAACAGCTTATGCTTATTCTTCTGTCGATCATACACCTATCCCTGTTTCTCTTTAAGCCATAGCTATTGGATGGCATTTTACGGCGCCTTGTATGCTCACTCTTTCATCTTACTTTAAAAAAAAAGCTTATCTGTGTTTATCTCCTAGATAAGCCACTAAAGAGCCACTAAAATCATTGATATGTTTAATTTTCTTTAGTATTAATGTCATGATTTTATCTAAAGCTCTGACCCACATGCAGAAGACCAAATAGAGAGACCAGGGAAAAGTTTAACAAGTTTTATTGAGAGTGAATGAGATGAGTCCAGTGCTGCTCTGAACTGGAAAGTGAAGGGGAAGATACTGTGGTTAGTTCAGGCTCAGTGGGAAATTAGGGTCTTTGATTTGAAGAAGGGGATTAAGGTTGCAGACTCACGTTTCCAGAAAAAGGTGTCTTGTTGAATCCAGTCGGTGTGGGTTGTTCCAGTGAATGTCTTGCTCGTTGGAGGGCAGACAGGGTTTACCCAGATTGAGGTTTTTCCTTAGTGAACAGAGTAGCTGACTGCCATTTAGATTTCCTGCGGTACTTGAACGGGTTATTGTGGAGATGAATCCCCAGCTCAGAGAGACGCCCAAACAATCCTTGGGCGTAAGGTTGATCCAAGCCACAAACTTGAATCCTCAGCTCAGTTTGGTGCTCAGAGAGTCCTTCCAGGGGGGAGAAGGTCCAAAACATCCAGCTTGCAGTATGACTTCCTGCTGAGAGGCAAAGAAAAAAACAGCAAGGTTAAAACTCAGGTAGACCAAAACTCAGTTTGACTCAGCATAACTCAGCTTGGCTAGAGTACCCAAAACTGGCAAACACTCTGGCGTCGAGGTAGTGGCAGTCAGCAGCTTAAGAGTTCTCCGTTAATGAGGTAACCATCCGCAGGTGTGTGAGGAGGCCAACCAGAACAAGGCGCTGCCTGGTGGTGGAGGGAAGACAAACAAAAGCACAACCCACACAAACTGGATTCCTAACAATTAAAAGTTATCCTGGATCAGTGATTCTGTGTTAGTTCCTTTGGTTTGAGCACAGTCTGTCATGACTTGTGTTTTTTTTTTACATTGAACTGAGTCCTGTTGAAGGTTTATACTTAAAAAATTATTTTTTTTTTTGCTCTAGCTTCATGCATGCTCAGTAACGTCACAATTAAAGCTACTGCCCATTGACACATGCTCATCAGGGAAGAGGGAATGCTGCAAGTGGACGATGGATGCAGTCTGCTGGGTTTCCTTAGATAGAAGACTGTTGTTGTAAAATTTGATTTGAATTGAACACATTGTTTTAATAACTCATTTTTTTTCTGTAAAGTTCCTTCCTGACATGTTTTGTGAACTGGAGCTATATAGATCCGAAAAAAGTAACATTGAAAAATTTAAGTGGAAAAATGACAATTGCATTTTTATTTATTTATATCCAGTTTAGCTTTCCCTCCATGGACGAAGCCATTAAGCTAATATAAAAACACTGAAATATTTGCAGACAAGGGTGCTGAGGTATGAGATAAAGTCACATTAATTGTTAATATTATCAGTAATATGGAAGTAAAATACAACATCATTTGAAAAAAAGCGCGAATGAACAGTTTTTACTTTGCAAGAAAGGAAAGCCTTTCTTTGTTTTTTTCATGACTCGGCCGTTTGCTTAAGGAGCTGTTCCTCTGCTGTGGTGCTGAAACGCCTGTCTTCGCTTCCCTAAGGGTTTTTGCCAATTGTTTCTAATTGCCTATTAAACATAACCGCATCTATAATGTGTTTTCGTTATATTAAAATGATTTATTTCACTATTTAACAAGTGATTCTTAACTTTTATAACGTGGCGTTGGGTTGATTTTTTAAGGATTCTATGGACAGTTTTTACTTTGCAAGAAAAAGGCTTTCTTTGTTTTTTCACGACTCGGCCGTTTGCTTAAGGAGCTGTTCCTCTGCCGTGGTGCTGAAACGCCTGTCTTCGCTTCCCTAAGGATTTTTGCCAATTGTTTCCAATTGCCCATTAAACATAACCGCATCTATAATGTGTTTTGGTTATATTAAAATTATTTATTTCACTATTTAATAAGTGATTCTTAACTTATATAAGGTGGCGTTGGGTTGATTTTTAAGGATTCAAATCAGAGTTTGTGTCAGAAAACGACCTGAGTTTTTTTTCCCTTCTTTTTTTTTTTTTTTTTACAGCTTTAACATTATAGCTTTAAAATTATCTGCAAAAGAATCTGTTTTTATAGCCAGATAATAATGTTTTAAGTGGAGCTGTGATGTGTATTTCTCGTAGAGAGTATGGGAAATGCTTTAGGCTACTTTACCAGAAATCAAAACACCTGTAACACACAGTAACATCACATCGTCGTTAAATTGCCATTAATCCCTTACAGCCGCAGCAGACGCACCGGGTATATGGGCTGGGTTGGCAGTCTTTGGTTGTAAATCCATGTGGGAGGAGGATGGGTGGGTTTAAGTGCAGCTATCAGGTCTTTTCTTCTCGCGCGCTCCGAGGTGCGCACAGACTGAGGAGAAAATCAAAGAGGAGGTCCACCTTCCCATGCGATGTGCAGCAGGTCAGTGAGCGCGCGACACTAACTCCACAGACTGTCCCCGCATTCAGATAACTAAGCCCACTACAATTTGCTCTCTTCTATTTTTTACTTGATTTATTTTTCATCCACTCAATGCTAACTCCCCTCCATCCTCTCCAGCTTCAACATCTGTGAAGTGGCTTCCTCACCCGGTCGGACCGGAGGCCGTCTGGTCTCAGACCTGGTCTCTGGAGTGTCCAGGGGAGACTCGACGCGCTCCGTCGGGGCCAGGCTGTGCGCCTCTCGGATCTCCCCGGAGCCGGCGCGGGCTCTCGCCATGGAGATGATGGAGGGGAACGTTATGGACAAGCTGGAGGACATGTCATCCGTGTACGACTTCGACCCGATTACCGGCAACATTCCGGCCACTAAAGTGGAGATCACCGTCTCCTGCAGGTGAGTGGGCGCCGAGGATGCGTGTATGAAAAGTTTAGGAATAGGGAGAAAGTTGTGAGAGAGCCCCACCCTTTCTTTGGGATTTATTTAGTGCCAAAATGATGGAAAAAGGCTTACTAAGTTGCTCGTGTGGTGTTTAAATAAAAGCAAAATGGATCTTTGTCCAGGGCATGGCGTTGGAGAGGAGGGGGTGGATGGGGACCAGTTGTGCCAAAGAAAGAGCTTTATTCCTTTATTGCATGTTTGGTTATTTTAATCATGAAGATAATGTTGGAAACTATGTTGATAACTTAAGTTGTTTCCTTTCATGTTAATTTGCATGTTTAATTCGTAGACATTAGTATCCTGCCACCTTTATTAGAAACAATAGCTATATTTGATACATAAAGGAACTAAACAGTTATGGTTAAATGCAGTATTAGTGGCAGTAGAATCATTATAAGTATTTTGTGTTTTAATTTCTATTTTAAAAATCTATTGTTTATGAAATGAGAAATGAATAGCCTCTCTCATACTGTAGGTATCTGACTGCTTTCAGCACCAACAGATAACTAAAAACCTCCACCCTTTCTCTCCTGCATTTTTTAAAAAGGGGACTTAAATTTTCAAAGCTCTGCATCACATTCATTCTTCAGCCATGTCCTTGGCCTCCAGCTCACTCTCCATTCTGTAATATTGTAGTATTTTGTTTTCATTTTTGTTTCTAAATGTTTGCTTGAGCAGATCAATCTTACCACACAGTCACAACCATTCTTACAAGAAACAATTTTCTTTATTTTTTTTAGATTAGGGGCTCACAATGCTCTTCATCCCTTACATTTTCAGACCATTCACACAAACCTTCCCACACGTGTCTGCTCTTTGATGCTGGGTTTTGGGTTTTGTGAACCATCAGAGCTGAGTGAGTTTGAGGTATAACAAGCTGTGAGTGCATTATTGATGGGTACTCTGACCTTCAGAGAAGCTTCCTTCAACATCTCTCAGCTCAGACAGGTAAAAAAAATATATATATAAAAATACAGACCCTGTTAAGAAATTTGCTGAATGAACAAGGTTGATGTTGCAAATGGAAACCTAGTAAAGAGCCAATTTATATGGATAGAGGATGGGAAGCAAAATGCAAGCTTTGAGCCCAAGGCAGAGCCTGGCATAAATTTTAGATTTGAGTCTTGCTTGGTGGCTTTGCAACGATTGGGCTTACATCATACATGATACGCAATTAAGCACCATTGAGGAAAATGATGAGCTCCATCCTAAACCTCCTCTGCATTTATGCAAATAACTCATCTGATAAGTTGCATGTTCCCATGTTCATATGTGTTGGAAAAGTAGGAGAAATAAAAGAAGTGTGATAATTCCTTCTATCAGAAACAAATAGCATTCGGGAAAAACAGCAGTTAAGCCAAGAAGGAGGTTGGTGCTCCCTTCCCCCTACCGCTGCACTCCCAGTGTTTCTGTTGGAAACAACCCATAAGATATGCAGACAATTTACATTTTCAATGCAAATCATATGGAAAGTAAAAAAATGAGCTGTTTACAGTCATTAAACTCAAAGCTCTGTGATTGTGCTTGATGTGCCAAAAGTTTGGGCCAAAAAAAACAAATTTTTTTGTTTAGGATGAGTTTGTTCCTTTCTGCTTAAAATGTCAGCTTGGGAGCCACGGTGCTGTATTGCAGTCATTACTCCTCGTCTTTATGGAGAAATTTAGTCACAAGCCTTAATGATGCTCTGAGTGAACACCTCCTTCTGCTATTCCACATACTACCAAAGATACTACACCCCCCTAACCCCCCAACAGCCACACACATTCCTGTTTTTGTGACTTATGGGGACATTTCATTGACTTGCATTCATTTTATATGGCATAACCCAGACCCCTAAGGGCAGATTATACTTCACATCAAATGTCACTTGGGTCTGGTCGTGAAGCAGTTTTGCTGGTATGCTTCTGCACGGTTGGTCTGGAATTTCTAGGGACACACAGCAGTTTTCCACCAAAGTGCAAGGGGGAGCCTATTCGAGAGCTCTTGAGAACTTGGGCTGATGGTCACGAGAACTTTGGGGGTTCTGGCGGGAGTGTGTATCTTCCAAAATAACAATGGCGCGTGTGCAAGATATCACGGTCACGGTGATGGATCTAGAGTTGCTAGACATGGAAGAGGAACAGGTTCTGTTAAAGGAGCGAACCTCCTCGATTAACCTTTCATCGTAGTTGTCGATTGTAGTTGTTCCTCGTTTTTTTAAAATGGCGTGCCCTGGTATCGAATAGAGAAGGACGACCACACAGACAGCCAGAAAGGCGTACCAAGGACCGATCACAGCTGCTTGTTGTCTGCGCACTTCCGCTTAAGGTCTGCGCGTGCTTGCGACATTCCAACGCATAGTCAGGATTTTTTTAGGTGCGTGACAGAACAGTTGCAGAACCTCTGCGGGGGGCGTGGTCACGCACAGAGACAGATTTGACGGTTGCAGAGGCTATGCGTCAGAAGCATAAATTGGCCTTTACCCTAACCCTATTACCAACATTTACCTAATCCTAACCCTAACCTGAACTGAATTCACACCTTAGTCCTCAACCTAGCCCCGGCTCAAAGAACTTTACCATATGGGGACCAGGATTTTGGTCCCCATAAAGACATGGGTCCCCATATATATATATATATATATATATATATATATATATATATATATATATATATATATATATATATATATATATATATATATATATATATATATATATATAGCTTTAATAAATATATATTCTGCATTCTAAAGCTAACGCTTTTATTTTTTTATGTGATTTTATAAGAGTTTTGCAGGACGTATTCATTCAATCAATGCTTGATATTTGCTAGTAAAAAGCTACTTTTTAAAAATACAATCCCTTTAAATAGTCTCCTCTACATACTTTCATAACGCATATCTACGATTGTTCTAATACTACTAAGTATTAAAATGCTCACTTTAAGATTTACACAAATACAGTCTATTCTAATACAGTCTCAGTTAGGTGACACGTTTTCCAGTGAAGGTCTAACTATGTAAATGAGATGAACAAAAGCTGTCTAGACTGATTCAAAGAATACAGGAAACATTTTTATCTACTGCCAAATTATAAAATCCGTAAAATAATAATAATATTAAAATGAAATAATAAAACATCTACGGAGGACCTAACATGACGATAACATGATGATGCAATGGCTTGAAACTTCCTAAACATAAATGTTAATAACAATAAAAGTTGGCTTCTTAATGATCATTCTGAAAAAAAAGGTATTCTTTAGAAGTGTTATTTAATCTCAGTTAAAAATATACTACTTCTATGTTTTTTTTTTGCTTTTATAGCATTAACATGAATCTTTTTGTCCTTTTACATGTGAATTTTACCAAGATGATGCAACACTGCAAATACCAATTAAAAATAAGTAAACATTTGTTAAATTTATCCTTTTTTCCATTTATTTGTGTAGGTACATAAGATGATCTGCTGATAAAATACAATTTTTCGCCCCCTTAATATAAGATTACTTGATATTATGCACTAGTAAGATAATAGATTAGCTTTTTTCTTATTTTGAATGTAAACCATCTAATTTGATTCTCTAAATGTCCTGCTCAAAAGGGCAGAAATCCCCCATTTCAAGCAAAAATTGCGTTGTACGTACATATACTTCATTTTTTGCAGGCTAAAGCAGACCTGATCTATGCTAAACTGTATTCTATAAGGCTTTCATGGAACTATGATATTTTTACCATTTTCATCTCAATAATTGTAGTAATTATATTTTTATAGCATTGATTTAAGATATATTTCCATAAATGTTTTGTGTTTGCTGGTGAATATTTGGTGACTTCCTAGATAAAAATCTAGCAAATAAGAAAACATTGCAGGTTAACAGGTTTTCATGCTCTGTGACTTTAAAGCATTCTTTCTAAGTCTGATAAGTCTTTTGGTAAAAGTTAATGATTTGGAGGGTTAGAATTATCAGCTGGTGTTTCCCGGTCATGAATGTCGAACAGAGAAGGCATCCAAACATGCTTGGATGTTGAAACCTTGCATGATGGTTTCTCTTCTGCCGACACCCGCTGGTTCAACAGCTGCTTCAGTTTTTCAGGGAGCAGAAGAAATAAACATCTTTCTGTAACATTCAGACATCCAATAACCTCGTTAATCCTCTAAGTCCTTTGACCAGATGTTCTATGAGTCAGATTCCTTTTCAGGAAAGAAGTGTCAGTGTTCACTAGTGTTTGCAATTTTCAAATGCGTGCTCGCTGTGATGCCCCCATCCATGATGATTGCTCTTCCCCGAGGGTAAATACCCCTTATTACAAGCTACAGCCGTGCTTTTGACAACGCACCATTATCAGGACCCGTGTCAAACAGAGGGGGGTGGTGAGCTCCTGTTCAGGGAAATGGGGGGAAATGATATGGAATTGGTTGGTCAGTCGTTCAGTTTGGGAAGGCAAGTCAAACATTCGGTGGTAAGAAGAAAAAAATTTTTTTTTGCTTTATTTCATGAAAGATTACACAAGAACTTAAAATATTTTTCTTCAAAGATGGTTATTTTTGATTTACTCATTACAATCAGAAACCTAAATAAATTTTATTGGGATTTTAAATGATAAAGGAAAAGCAATATAGTAGATATATAATCAACTCAAATGTGTTTTTTAGGATTTCAGGCAGCAGCAAACATTTAGCTGAATAGAAGGTCATACCAGTGAATCACATCTACTAATAGCACTGTTAGTGACTTTAATGGCTCTATTATCATGATTGTTCTAACTACAGCTCATAAGCCTGTTCATTCCAACCAGAATTAGAACTCCTTACATAAGAAGTTTAGTTGCTTTCTTCATTAACATTCAATTGTAGCCGGTATTCAAAAATAAAATGAAACATATTTGTTTTTATAATCAGTTCTGAATCTGCACTTTGTGGATCTGACTTTCTCTGCATTTGCTCTTTGAAAAGAGAATGCAAATAATTGCA